ACTAAAAACAGGGCATGCTCGATGGTCTGACCAACCTGAAGGATACCTTGCTCTCTGTTAAAGGCCTGCCATGCCTCGCCGGAAGCCCCAATCTTCCTAAACATCGAGCTTTGAAAGGGTCGTGCTCCTTCCAGACTTTGCCACAGCCTTTTCTAGGCAGCAGGCAGCAAGCGTCAAAGTCGAGGTCGTGTTGGTCAATAAGAGCCAGCTTTTGCCACTATTTCACGATCAGATACGAGCATTGTTATGACCATTAGTCTATTGCTATCTTCATTGCCACGGATATCACTTTTATGAGAAATAAGCGATTAAAATGCTGCAAAGTATGACTGTACGTAGCAGGCACCTTCAAACATGGCCCAGACCTGCCATGTAATCCCTGCTGCACACCTGCAGCTCCGAATTCTAACCCGGCACAATGCATTATGAGGCTGCAAAGCCCAACCCCACAAGCTACGAGAATATGTTCGGACCAAACAACACGCCTAAAGGCTGCTGGAACCTGCAGCAAGTGTGGTCTGAAAGCTTGGGGACGGGCAGCCAACATGTTGGTGAGGAAAGGCAAGACCGGCATGGTTTGTTGGCGCCTCATATCGCGCGCCACTTTGAGCTTTCATACCGTGGCAACTTTCGAGCAACTCGAGATCAGGCAAACGATCAGACCGAAGACAATTCAGTCAATACATCTCTGGTTTTTGTTGCACGCACAGATTCTCGACCAACGGCTCCCTCTGTGAGTGACCTGGTGAGCCCACAGGACGACAAAGATCCAATTGATTTCCGTGACCTTCGTCGGATCCGCGTGCATCACAATCACATCAGCATGCTCCCGCCCGCAAGCCTGCCAAGCCTACGATTGTGCGAACCCTCAAATCCCGAGTTGACTTGTTTCATTCACCTGCAGACCGAACCCGACAGCCGAGGATCACTCGTCAGTTGCAGCTGCTTACTTATATGTAGCCCGGTGGGAAAGCGCACCAAGGCTTCCGCAGCTCGTGAGGCACTTGACTATCTTGCAGCTGTCAGAAATGTTGCTGACGATGGCATTCCTAGTGGCGGAGAAGTAGATGACGATGCTGATGATGACGGTGACAACACCGATGATGATGTCAGTTGATGGCCACGGTGGTGGCTGCGGCAGGTGGTGGCTCAACAGCAGAAAGTATGGTAGTAACAACATTCTGCTGTTGTTGACACAGAACATACTAGTCATGTTGCGTCTGCCGCTGCCTCCGCCACTCATCATGATGGTCATCATCTTCAGACTGACAACTCATCTTCTTCTTTCTGCGAGGAAAAGCCCTGGAGTTCCTGCCCATCTCCTCCCACCTCCTACTGCTACTACGACTACGACGACTACTACTACTACTACTACTACTACTACTGCTACTACTGCTTCTACTACTACTACTACTAGTACTACTACTACTACTACTGCTACTACTACTACTACTACTACTACTACTACTACTGCTGCTGCTGATACTACTACCACTACTGCCACCTTGCGAGAGTGGTAGCACAGAAATGTAGCAAACCAAAGTCTCTGTTAGTTTCGAGACTGGCGCTGGGAGGCTGGCTTGCGGCTTTGCTAGAAGAGCCGCTGCTGTGCCAACATGTCGGTCTTCACAGACGCATGTCAGTTGACCCCATTGGACTGCAGAACGCTTGACACGAACAGTTACCACGGGCAGTGTGTCCCGAACTGCAACCTGGGCCGCTTCCAAAGTTAACATCCCCAAAAGCGAAGACATGCAATTCTATGCTTGCCAAACTACTGTGAACACTGGTTCAGCCCTCGGCATGCGTTTTAGTGACAACCTGATAGGGGAATACTGGCACAAGCGTCTTGATCAGCCAGCTGCTGACCACCCAAAGCAGCTACTAACGCGATGTCAGCCACGAAAGCTCTCCCCCTCTGAGCCTGTCTTTGCACACGACCCTGCCGTCTAGAACTTCGGAAAAGGTTCAGCCCTCCTGCGGATCTACATGCTGATTCCCAAACAAGCCAAACTTCAAAACTGATGTGCCGCAATTCTCCACCTTCCGGTGCAGGCTACTGGTGGGGTCCCACTCTGGTGGCGGGTTGTCAAAAAATCGGCGGAATAGGCGAACCAGGCGCACTACCCTGACTGATAAATGGCAGCGCTGCAGGGAGTGACTTCAGCAATATAGGGGGGGCACTCCTCTTTCAACCTTCCACTACTCGTCGCATTATTTTTCGTTCGATAGGAACAGCTTGCTCTCTGCGTTCCTTTCGCCCTCACGGAACCGTCTCTTCTAGCTGGGACGCTGCCAGCCAATTCCCGCTCAAATGCAGTTGCTCGAAAGATTTCGTGCTTGCCAAGGCACAGCTTTGTCAACGACCTTTTGCAAAGTCATCCCGATGCGCTAAATCAAAGCCTCCTGCAGAACCCGACGCAAAAATCGTAGGTATTTCCACATTTGTTTTCAATTCTTGGAGACCGAGGCACCATAGTCCTGCTATATTGCAACAAGCCACTTAGTCCACGTAGTGCTTGATGACAGTCCTACTGGTGGTCAGAGTCCAATTTGATGGAAATTGACTGGCTTTGAGAGTTCCAAACAGAAGGCGACGACGACCTCATACTGGCATCCGAATTTACAGCGAGGGTCAAGTCTATGAAGACCGCTGAGGTCTCAAATTTGCCAGCTGCACTCCCCACTGGACCCCCATACGTGGAGGTTCCAAATGCTGCGCTCGAGCACTCAGAGATCAGAAATACCAGAAGCTGCAAAGGGCGACGTTACCTACTAGGGTTGAGGATGAACAGGTCTCCAGACTCACAGCTCCCATTTGAGAGGACTGCTGCTGCTGGCAGTGCTGTTTCCCAGAACTGGCTGCGACCTGACCAGAACTGTTGCCACAACTAGTTGCGCAAGTGTGCTTAGTATGGATGTTCGTATGGACATGAGCTTTTTCCTTGCGTGCTGCGGAACAATGAACAGATATCTGAAACTAGGAAGAGCCATATTGTTGTCATACGTGGCGTCCTCCTCCTCTTTCTGCTCCCCCTCCTCCTACTGCTGCTTCTGCTTGTTTCACCTCTTCTGCTGCTACAGCTACTGCTCCTGCTACTGCTCCTGCTCCTGCTGGTACTGCCACTGCTACTGCTACTGCTACTGCTACTGCTGCTGCTGCTACTACTACTGCTGCTGCTGCTACTACTACTACTACTACTACTACTACCACTACCACTACCACTACCACTACTACTACTACTACTACTACTACTACTACTACTACTACTACTACTACTACTACTACTACTACTACTACTACTACTACTACTACTACTCCTTACTCCCACTACTACTGCGACGGCATACTGGTGCTACGAATCTCTACAGCCGCCACCAAGACCACGGCTGGTGAGGTCTACTTCTCATGTGTAGCAATAGAGACAATCATGAACTAACAAAGGCAAAGTCGCGGGAGAGAACAACCTGAATGCGAAGAGCCGCTCGGGACATATTTTGACAATTGCTGCTTTGCTCTCACTGACTGCTACTACCATATCGTGATCAGCAAAGGAGTTATCGCAGTACATGATTGTGGAGACGACTATGCTTCTATAAATGCTCATGGCATGTTGGCTGCGTTTGTTGCACTGGTGGTGGTTGTTCAAGTCTTTATGGTCAGGGCCATGAACTGACACCAGGTCTGCGGTCCCCTTGAGACTTTAGCTCAACCACGGTTTATAGAACTGCTCCAACAGCGACCTCCTGCTGCACGACGACCCAAAGTTGCTTCTGAATATTTCGGACATCTATCGTGCCAAGGCACCGAAGAAATTTCTATTCGGTGCCTGAAGCGACACACTGCGCATACCTACACAAGTTGAAAATTGAAACATGAATTGTATTGGTCTGGGTCTTGGTATTGAATTGGACCAAATTGGTTCCAGACCAACGCGAATTGGCATACAGGCGTACCTTCGCAGAATCCCTTTGCTTTGCATCTCATTGCATTGCCGCAGCCTTGTTTTCAGCACAGTTGCCGTTCACAAACCTTTAAAGAGCCGGAAGCAACGACTCTTGACATTCAGACCTTCTGAGGGTTCGAGGCTGCAGTCGCTTGATTTTAGGTATCTGACAGCAGGCCTTCAGAAAAGCGCTTGGCCACATGAAGTCAGCTGCGTGGGACTTTCAAGCACGTAGCTGTGTTTTCCATGTGGGTACACAGAGTTTCATTCAGCGAAAGACAGGCAACACTGCTGACGAAAAGGGTATCGGCATGTGCAAAGGTAGCACGACATGCTTCCCGAAGAGCAGTCACCCTGCCTTGTTACCTTCACATTACCAACTTCTTGTGCGTCTACAAAGACTGAGAGTCCACACCACTCTCTATCAGGCTTCCATAGGTTGTTGAAGGTCAAGAGCCATGCATGCCCTGGGTTTCCGGAGGCTCGGACGGGTCCGTAACGGTAAGTTGCACGAATGAAAATCATGATCAGAATGGTGGCCCATGATCACAAGGTCTATCATACGGGCAGTGGTGCGTCGCGAACACTGAGACGCGCTGTGCTAAAGGCTTCGGTCCTAAGTACTGTAGCGACTTGCAGGACTTATCGAACTCGACGTGACCCACCGTTCTGCGGGGCGAAGGTTGTATGTGCCGCTAATCAGGCCAAGGGCCGGTAGACTGTTAGAAAGCACTAGCCTTGAGCAAACCAGTGAACCTTTCTTGCAGCAGAATTTGGCTGTAGAGCACTGCAAGCTTGTTTCAAACACGTTGGTGCTAAGGGGTCGCGCTCGCCAGCTTCAGAAACAGTCTAAACATAGCCCACACTGTTCATGCGGAGAGTATCTGGCAAGGTTTGATCTAGAAACGCTACAAGTAGTTGTAGACATGCGAGAGCAAATCTGAATCAAAGAACCCTATATTCCTATGGCGGCTTTTAACCCAACCCCCCACAAATCCAACACACAAGCCTTGAAGGGAAGCGCATCGCACACAGCCGAATTAGGCCAACAGCTCAGAACTCACTATTGGCACGAAGGGACTCCAAGATCGCGAGGAGGCACGACTTACCTCAGACAGACTGTGATCTCTGAAGTGAGCCACCTGAAACCTTGCTCAGAAGTTCAACTCCGAAAGCACACATGAGGTGCCAGACTCAAAGGCGGCATTTGCAGTGCGACTTTCTTCTTTAAAGTGTCGGGCTCAGCCACGTGCTGGCTGAAGGGTGGAGGCCTCGTCGAGTTTGTCCGCGTGTATACAGCTCTTTGTGAGATGGCATCTGGTTCCGGCGATTCCCGACAGGCGAGTCATGCGCGGTTTTATGATATTGTATCAACAAAGCAGTTCAATCGCAATGTATGTTTCAGAAGCCAGGGATATGCTATGGGCCATGCTACAAGTGGGATTCAAGGTTGTCGTTTCGGACCGGTGTTCGTGTCTGGTTGGCCGTAGGCAGGAACACCATCCCTCTCTCCCACCTAACATGCTGGTGCAGCTTGCTGTGTGGCGTGTCACGTGTGTGCATAGTCGACTGCTGGAACGTGTACAAGCAGTTTGTCGCTTGCAGAGTCCTGCACGGACGGCTTGTCCCTGCGTCTGGCAAAACCTGTTGACGCGCCTCTAGTGTACTGTAGTCTAGTAGTCTTGGCTTGATTGATAGGATATGTGAGAGCATCGGGATACCATCGTCACTGTCAGGAACGACGAGGTCGCAACTTGCCAGAGGTACCCGTACAATCGGCCTAAACAGCGAATCGATGTCAGGTGTGAAGGAAGCGGATGAGGGTGATGGGATGGATCGTCAAATACACGGCGTGACTGCTGATTATGTGGTGCGTAGTTCCCTCACGCCGCCTCAGCGAAGTTGTCCACAGTCTGTACGACACCGTCAAGAAACCTCCAAGACTTCGTAAAAACCAGGAGTCCTTATCCCCAACCTCGAGATTGTCGATCAGATTCAAGACCAATTGATTAAAACTCGAAACCTACATTGGAGATCAGTTGAGACCTTTAGTCATGTTCTCCTACGAGCCGCAAATGCGGCTACTCTCCAGGGTGCTCTTGTCCGTACAGCGCCGTGAGGTCAGAGACACCAACGCCGCGAAGTTCCTCGAGCTATTTTTAGGTGTGCAGCGCGGCGATTTGTATATGCATATAGATCCACGACATCCCAAATCTACATAGCATCGCCACATGGTTTGATAAAGTTGCTACCGGACGGTGATAGATCTCATACCAGCAGGCAGTTACTCCCAAACACCATGCTAACCACGACGATTAGTGCGATGATGCATGCAACCAATGCACGACTGTGAACATGCTGTTCCCCTTGCTGGTTCGTAGATCGCAGCTGTGCCAGAGCAGTGCGATTTCACGCAGCACGAAGATTTGCTGCTTCTTGCAGGGCTACACAGTTACGGCACATCGTTGAAAAAATGACAGGACCGTGTCCACGTTTTTCTGCAGCTACGTGGTACTACGGAAGACTCTCCCTTTCGGGGCTGCCTTCCGGGTTATCGCGCCTCAGCGGCATTTCCAAACGCATGCAACTGAACTGCTGAACTGTAGCACAGCTTAAGAAACTCATTGGTTTCGGAAATCGGGCCACTCGGCTAGTCGGCCGAGCTCCAAAACACGGTTAATACCATTGTAACAACCCGAAGGCACCCTCAACCTGCATGTACCCTGGCAGTTCCGTCTTTCAATAGCCTGCCAGCTTTTCAATAACATCCCCAAGTCAAAAAGCTGAGGGGCTGAAAATCCGGTAAGCTTCACGAACGGAGCCCCTTCAAGTTCTATACGCAGATCTACACCCAAAGCCTGAATTAGCCTAAAGGTCGTGCAAGTGCAGGGCCACCTTCGGGCATTCTGTTTTGTTTCGTGGGCCTTAGACGGACATGAAATCATGATGCCCTTTTTGTGCAGCCAGACCTGCATCAAACTGTAGTCGCAAAGTGGTCGCAGTCATGTGCAGTGTTCTGAACAGCTCCAGGCTAGGAACCCGGATGATGGCGACGAAGACCCCGAATTCCCAAGACCCGCAGCTCCTTCAGGGCCTTGAAGGGCTTGATGATTCCTGTTATAGCCCCGCTGAAACCTACCAGAAATGCACGGCAACCCAAACCCAAAGCTTCATGACGGGAGGAACCATCTGCAACAATGCAGTTGCCCACCGAAAACGAAACCGATGGCATCCAAGGTGCATTTTCGAGATCACTTTACGGAATTTCTTCACGACGACACGCGGAGCTTCAGTCTCCTCAGCTGAACCCAAGCACCCCTGAATGCATCTTGAGCAAAATACAAGTTCACAATTTATATATGCATATCTATATAATACGTATATATATATATATATATATATAATACATTATATATATATGTATATTATGTATATTATGTATATACATGTAGCCAAGTCCCTAGTCAAAGAACAAGGGCTCTCAAAGCAGGAGCTTAAATTCACGGAGCCGATGGAATGCAGAAGAGAAGCCTCGGAGTCACAGGCCTGCGTAGCATATTGTTCCGCATCCTCCATCTCCTGTACTTAAAGGATCATGGGACTTAGTAACTACTAGGGTTCCGTAAAGGGCTCCTTTAAAGGGGATCTATAGGGGTTCTATTATAGGGTCTACTTAAAGGATCATGGGACTTAGTAACTAGGGTTATAACCAGGGTAACTATACTTATAATCCCAATTAAGCTACTTACAACCTTACTTACTAAGTCCCATGATCCTCCAAGTACTTGGAGGTTCATGGGTAGTTATAAGGGTTCCTTTAAGGGTCCCTTTAATGGGATCTATAGGGATTCTATAAGGGTATAGGGTTTAGGGCCTACTTGGAGGTTCATGCGTAGTTATAAGTGGGGTTATAAGTCCCCTAATATGGGTTATAATTATGGTTACCATATTTATAACCCCACTTATAACTGCCCATGAACCTCCTAGTAGGGCCGTAATAAGGGTCCCAACTGTGCGAAACCACAGTGACAAATCAGACTCCGTCCGTTGAGACTACCACGGAGCGACTTTTCTCATGTTTTTCTGCGCTGAACCATGTATATAGGTAAGCCCAACGCACAGGCCTCAAGCGCAGCCGTAGTAGTAGTAGTAGTAGTAGTAGTAGTAGTAGTAGTAGTAGTAGTAGTAGTAGTAGTAGCAGTAGCAGTAGTAGTAGTAGTAGTAGTAGTAGTAGTAGTAGGAGTAGTAGTAGTAGTAGTAGTAGTAGTAGTAGTAGTAGTAGTAGTAGTAGTAGTAGTAGTATGGATAGTACTTTGATGATAGCCGCAATCGCAAGACGTTGCAGCTGCAACCCGGGCATGCCGCAAGCAAAAATCTCAAGGCGAGAAGCAGCCCTAAACCCTAAACCCAGAAACCTGGATGGCTGCGACGTTGCATTCACTGTCCCAGACATGTGCTTCAGCTTCAGAGTCTGGTTGGGTTTCCTGCAAAGCAGTCTTAACTGAAGCTGTAGGTTACAAGTAAGTTTCGAAGTGTGTAAACTAAACTCCCGCCGGGAGTTGAAGCTCCCTAAACCCCACCTTCTTCAAAACGCTGAGAATGTCCCGGCCCTGGCCGGGTATTTTAGTGCCCTGCGACGCCAGCATCTCAGTCAACACGGATAGGAACCTAGCAGGGCCCAGGTCAAAACCTAGCCTACAGTCTCAAAACCTTTGTGCTGCACCCTCATCCCATTCCACCGACGAGAGGAATGATGCAGACCAGCCCCGAACTATGAAGCTTAGTCTTCCCCTATGTGCAGCGTGAATACGAGGAGAATTAAGAATACCAGTAAAGAAACATAAACAAGATGATCACAATGATGGTGATGGTGATGTTGATGTTGATGATGTCACGATGAATGTGACAACCATTGTAGCGATGAATGCTGCTAATGGTGACCGCTGGAAGTGATGAGATGATGACCATGGCCACACTTACCAATCTTACAGCGGCAGCTGCGATCGAGGCTTGCTATAATGAAGACGAAGACGCTGCACGCTACCACCGCAACCACAACGACAACCAACGTGCCACGTCTTTCACCGCCACCAACATGGTCATCAGCACCTCTGTCATCTTCTGCATCTTCAAGATCTTCATTGGGTCACCATCGCCATTACCGTCATAGCCATCATGGTGATTGAGGTTCAGCATCGCAGGAGTAAGGAGAAGCAGGAGCAAGAGCAGCAACAGCCGTAGCAGGCCGCAATGCAGCCGCAAACGGTGAATCGTCAAGATGAGGAAAATTGTACATAATCACCACCATGGAAGTGATCATCATCGTCGTCGTCATCATCATCCCTATCATCATCATCATCATCATCAAACCTGACATCACAAAGGTCATCAGAATGGTCATTGTCATGGCGCATCAGCATCATCGTCAGCATGGTTGCAATGATCGCCTCAGTCGCCGTTCTTATCACTAACACATGGGACATCAGACTTTGCCTTGTAATGTCACTGTCACAAACAGTTGCATCACCAGTAAAACCCTTGTCATTGTCATCATTCTCAGAACCATGTTTGTGTCTCCGAAAGCATGTGTAACAGCGGCCCCCGGCATAGCAGCGATCTCATTGGCACGATCATACTGTGGTTTCACTTTATTTTCGCTTGCGAAGACTGACCCCATGGCATTGCTTGTGGTTGCTGCGCTCCTTACCAAGCCCAGCAGAAATCATATATATATATATATACATATGCCACACAAGCATACGTACATGCATACGTGCATACATACGTACGTTGTCCGGGCAGCTGGGCTTTGGGCATCGCCTCGCACATTGCACGCTGTCGAGTGTCCAGCTTGCTCCTCACGACAAAGCGTCACGGAATGAAGGCCCTGACCGTTTATGCTTCACGCTTGAGCTTGAGCGGCCAAGACCAAAAATGAAGCGCAAGAGAGGAAAAGGGAAGACTCAGGAATCTAGGATACCCAGTAACCTAAGAATAAAAAGGCCTCTCTTTTTGGTATTGGGTAACTTTATAAGGAACCTAGGACTACAAAAAGGGAATAAGGGTACTACTGGGCATCCTAGGAATGCTGCTCCTATTATTACTACTATTATTATTGTTGCTATTATTATTATTATTACTATTATTGCTACTAGTACTATTGATTTGTGGACAGCTGCTCCTGGCTTCATGCGGGAAATGGCAATACGAGCAAGAGTCGCCCTTCGCACAGGATCCTCAGCTGGGCCGCTGCTTGGTCGCTTGGGGCTGTGCTTGGAGGATCATGGGACTTAGTAGTTCCTTTAAGGGTCTATACTAAAGGGATCCTTAAAGGGATCTATAAGGGTTCTATAGTGTGATCCTCAGCTGGGCCGCTGCTTGGTCGCATGACTCTGGGGTTAGGTACCTTGGGGCTTAGTAAGTAAGGATATAAGGGATCATGGGACTTAGTAGTTCCTTTAAGGGTACTATAGGGCTCTATAATAAAGGGCTCCTTTAAAAGGATCCTCAGCTGGGTCGCTGTTTGGTCGCTTGGGACTTAGTAAGGGTTCTTAAAGGGATCTATAGGGCTCCTTAAAGGGATCTATAGGGTTCTTAAAGGGATCTATAGGGCTCCTTAAAGGGATCTATAGGATTTAGGGTTTATGGTACTACTTGGAGGCACCGTGGGGCTTAGTAAGTAAGGTTATAAGTAGCTTATTTGGGGTTATAAGATCCTGGGCCCAGAGACTCCAATATCGCTTACTTAAGGAATATTCCTTAAATCATATTAGGGGCCCGATTATAATTTAAGGAATATTCCTTAATTAAGGGATATTGGAGTCTCTGCGGGTCGCTGTTTGGTCGTTACATGACTGTGGGGTTAGGCGCCCCTGGGGGCTTTAGGGTTTGGGGTTTAGGGTTTTAGGGTTTTAGGGTACCTATAGGGCTCTATAATACGGTTCCTTAAAGGGATCTATGAAGGGTCTATAAGGGGAGGATCATGGGACTTAGTAAGTAAGGTTATAAGTAGCTTAATTGGGGTTATAAGTATAGTTACCCTAGTTATAACCCTAGTTACTAAGTCCCATGATCCTTTAAGTGGGAGGCACCTTGGGGCTTTGGCTCTCAGCTTTTAGAGCTTTCGGGGTTTAGACGACACCAAACTCCTTGATTGAGGGCTTTGTATCTGTACCTCTTCTACAATAGCCTCGGGTCCGTGGCACACTGGACACATGTCAAACATCAGGGGGCCTCGTGTCTTCAGATCAGCAAGGGAGGCGCAGTAGTCTGGGTTCGAGGTTTGCTCATGAGTCTGGCTTACAGCTTTCGGACATGGCGGGCAACAACCGTCCGTCGGATCAGGAGACTGCAGTAAGTGCGAAGGCTCGGCATGCCCGCTCTGCGTCATTGTGACTGTAACCGAGAGACACCCCTCTTGGATTTCCCTTGGATGCGAGGCAGTCAGCCAGTGGCTCCCGGATCCAAAAGCCGGGAGAGATATGTCGAACCCTCATGTCCACGTTCCTTCCCCGAAGCAACCCAGAGAAAGACTACGAACAAACCACATGGCCCAAGCGACAAAATAACCTCCCAAGTTCATAGAATCCCAAAGCGTGGCTCTCAGTTCTTAGCGGCAACCCGCAGTTGGCTGTTAGACGGAATCACCACCCCGCACTGTTCAAGTCAATGTTCCCGAGCGCAAAATGTGCACGCAGGGCCGACGACAAAGGAAAGGGTGCCCACGACTTCCCTGGTTGAGATCACCCAGATGCTTTGCGTCCTTGGCGAGAACTAAGAAGGCTCTGATCGTCAATCGTTGCTGCTGCTACTGCGCTAAAAAGGCAAAAAGCCTCAACAAAAATCCATAACATACTGGAGAAGAAGTGGACGCAGAAACCGCTCGACTGAAAAGGTTGAAGCGCCCTATAGTCTATAGTTTCAGACCAAGCTCAACATCTTGAAACGAAGCTTGCACAAAAGACGTTCACAGAAACCGACAAACATACTGACCAAACCGGAGAACAGACATCGCGAAAGCTGCAGTCAAGATCGCCGAACGATGACTCAGCTGCGCAGATGTGGCTGCTGCAGCTTCGCCGGTCTCCTTCAGAGAACAGCTCGTGTAGGCGGGCGAGTATTTCAATTCTATAAAAGCTTCAGCTGATCGAAGGATGCCGTCCTGACAGCAGGATACTGTGAGTCCTTCCTTCACTACAATCGAAGCCTTGTGGCATTTTCCCCTCGGTGGCCTCTCTAGAGGACAATGCCGAAACAGTTTCAACATCCGGAGGAAACGACCCTTTCGAGACTGTTGCGGCAATTTCCGCTCAAGGCGTCAAGTACACAAACTGTCAGTCCATCCTGCTGGAATATGCATGCATCCGAAAAAACGGAATCTGCAGAGCTGAAGTCCCGCTGCGTTCCAGTGATGTCAAATCCAGTCGGTGGAACCACGGCGGCTACGGGGGCCGCATCCTCGTCGATGCATGGAAGGTAAGACACGTACGGAATGTGCTTCATCCGCACAACATACACGATGCATGCAAGGTACTCATGCATGAACAAACACAAACATCCGTCCTTCCATCTATCCATCACCTCCCTACCTGCCTGCCGATATGCACGTGCGTACAGACAGAAATATGTTTTGTCAGATACACATACCTTTGCTCCCGTTTGTGTGCCAAGATGTGGCCACATGTACTTGTGCATTTAGAAGAGCGTATACATGTGCCCACCCCCAGACCAGTGCAACTACCACATTGTGGAAGGAGATTCCAATACCATGGTAGTTCTCTGTGTTCTTTGGGACCTGGCGCCACACTGGCGCATATCTCCACACCTGCTACTTTAAGAACACATTACATATAAAGCCATAATTACGGGGTACGTATGCGTTCATGTGTGCATATGATGTCTGTACTATGAGCGCACACCCCGAACAGTGCAAAACCGCGGATAAGACCCCTGGCCAGAATTCAGAGCCAAAGCATGCCCAAAGGCCGAATAGCCTGGCGATGCTAGGACTTTACTCTCGCGACCCTGAAAACGGGATATTGCGCCGCGAACCTACCCTTTTCTCCTATGACATGTACAAACAATCACCATAGTGTTAGTCAACTGTTAGCACAATAATTCGGGCAAAACTGAGTCTTAAACACACACGAATAAGATATACATAAACGAATATACAGGCTACAGGTACACAGATATATACGTACGCAAGCACCTACATACGGACATATGTACATCCATACATCATGACATGCATGCATGCATGAATGCATACATGCATACATACATGCATAGTTACAAACATAATTACATAATTACATAAATACATGCATAATTACACACATGCGTACCTTCATACATGCATACATGAATGCAGAACTACATATATACATACATACATACAGACATACAGATACACACGCATATATATATATATATATATATATATATATATATATACACATACAAACATACACACGGGATGAAAGAGCAAGAGTAGGATCAACAGCAAGAGCAACAGCAGGAGCAAGAAAAAGAAAAAGACAGAAAGAGAGTAGGATCAACAGCAAGGGCAACAGCAGGAGCAAGAGCAGGAGCCGGAGCAAGAGCGGGAGAAATAGCAGAAGCAAGAGCGCAGGAGCAAGATCCTTCCCAATGCGACAGTCGAGATAACAATACCCCCGCACCCCAAATAATACAAACACTTATCGAGTCTTTACTGGGGGGGAACCCCAGGTCTAACATCAGGGTGAAGCGATTTTAATTACAACATGCACGCCATGATTACAGCGCTCACTTAGACTTAGACTCATATAAGCTCGGAGAGCGAGCCAGTGTTCCTGCCTACCCTAGCTACCCTAAGCAACCGCAAACACCATAAGCACCACATGGGAGGGGGGAGACAAAGAAGCCAAAAGACCAGGAACCCAGGCAAGACAACATGCCACTCAAAAGGGCGGAGGGCGGGTGGGGGATATCATGTGGTGGGGGGTGGGGGGTGGGGGTGAGGGCTCCGGGCCCTGCGTCATGTGTGCGTGTACGAGTGTTTGTACACACAGACGGATCAAGCGAGACCGTTCTGATACAAGAAGAGTGGGAATAGGGCTCTGTCAGGCATCCAAGGGAGCGCGAAATGCTGAACATTTTCATGCAAAAACACCTGGCGTTGATGCCGCTTTGTCCCCCGCAGTGCCGAAGAAAGCAGGGAAGTGAAGAATCTGGAACAAGCTGCCAACGGCAACGCATGGGATGTTGCTGAGTCTGCTGACTTGGTGAAGGCTCCAACGCCTTCGGCAGTAATGAACCACTGCATCGAAAAGTCCTTCTCGTCGCGGGATAGGCTAGTCTCCGGATGCACCAGTTTCTTGGCCTGGTCCAGCCTGAGGGGCAGCTGTGATTGGATTAGCGCAAGGTCCGACCGTAGGGCCACAATGCTTGTTTCAATGCTGCCGTCGGTCGTGATCCCCAAATGCAGGCTGCAATGTCGACATCACTTGGTGATGATGCTGGCATTTGTCAAGGTGCCAGCCGTGAGTTACCGGGAGTCGATTTTACAGCAATCGGAATTAAACGCGCCGAGTCACAATCCGCCCACATAGGAGCGGGTGCGTCGATCCTGCTTGCGGAGGATGTCTTCGGCCATGTCAGCGAAGTCACCTTGCTGGGAATGGGTTGAAACCGCTGCAGCTTGGCGAATTGGATTGGCTTTGAGACGTGGGTCCGCGGCCGAGTGCGGCTTCGTGAAATCCAGGGAGAAGGCATTTGCCTAAAATGCACAAAAAGCATCGAAAAGGCTTTGCTTGGAAGCCAGGGCGCTCAGAATGGGAGAGCTTGCTGCCCGTGGCAAAGGCCGCGCTCGCATCGACTCTGCGCCCTGCACCGGGATTAGAGCCCATGCCAATGAGCCTCACACCTCACTTTTTTTTGGCATCCGGAGTAGAGGATATGTTAAAGCACTCCGGGCGATCATGCGTCTTGCTTGGTTGAGGTCCCAGAAACCAAAACGCCCAAAAACGTTGAGAAACGACACCTAGAGCGAGCAGCACAACAAGGCAAACCACTACAGTCACACTGAAACAACTACCAATCCAAGAAAACAAATCAAAACACAAACCAACAAACATAAAATGCGCAAGCCGCAAAAATACAATACGAAAACAATCGAAATCCCACCGGACCCCCACGAAAAAAACATGCCACTCCAAGTGGTGCTGGTGTTGCGTGGTTTGCGACTTTGGTGTGATTCATGCTGCTATGTTGCCTGGGTTGGGTGGGCATCATTACTATATTTTCCGCATGTGTCTGCTTGGTTGCTTGTTTGCTTGTTTGTTGTCTGTTACTGTTGCTCTACTTGCTTATTTCTTGTTTCCTGTGCGTGGATATATATGTGTGTGTGTGTTTGTGTTTGATTGTCGGTTTTGGTCTTGGCTAGTGTCGTAAGATAGGTTTGGGGCTGCCTCTCCGGTTTTGCTTCTCTCGTTGCATCTGGCTCCACGCGAAGTTGAGCGCTGTGACTTGCACGACCTTTTCAATCCGAGCTGCTCGGCCCCTCGCAATGCTTACAGACTATATACACATTTCATATGTATGTATATATATATATGCATACACACACACACATATTTGTTTGTTCATGTGTTGTATACACACCTACGTACGTGCATACGTACGTGCGTACATAAATGCATTACATTACATTACATCACATAAACAGGTAGATAGCCAGACAGATGGATAGCATTCTGAAGGGAATGCATGCCATGCCATAACTCGGACAACAAACCGTGAACATCGCAGCCGCCCATGCGGAAAAGCCCTAGAGAATCGCATGAAACATCCCAAAACTCCAATGCCTCTTACATGGGCCAACGCTCATATCTCCCAACGTCAGGCATATTATGCATCCTTTCAACCAGTTTCGTTGTATCACTATTAGACGTGAAAACGACAAAAAGCAATCACACGTTTGAGACTTCGAGTTGCAATCTTGCCACCTTCTTTGCTGTCACTACAACGGCAAGGCCACCCTATTTAGGGATTAAGAGGTAAGCGTTTGCTTTCTGATCTGCTTGTTCATCTTCCCCTAGCCCCAAGTACCATCGATAGTCAAGCCGATCTTCAAGACAGTATCGCATGCAATGGCTATCGGGCACCTACATAATTTGAATATTCGGCCGGTTGGGGATCTACTACTTAAAGGATCATGGGACTTAGTAACTAGGGAATTAGGGTAACTATACTTATAACCCCATTTAGGGTACTTATAACCTTACTTACTAAATCCCATGATCCTCCAAGTATGCCCTCAACAGGTCCTGCACAACTTCTCAGGTGCTTCAGCTTTCTTTAACCACCCGTTTGCACCTTTGAAACTATCTGAACAGCTTTGCCAACCTCGATGTCACGAAAAGTCGTGGCTGCTAGTTGTTCTCGTCGAAGCCGCACAATTAAGGCTAGTATCTGGATTTTGGTTTTATTGTCCAAGTCAGTTTCCTTCTCTCCTACTGTACACTCCCAAACGAATGGCATCCACTGTGTGTTGTTCTATCCCGCTTTGTGCATATCTGAAATCTTTAAGTGTGCGAGGTTCTTTTCGGACGTGGAATTACACCATGACTCCAAAGTTGAATTGCAACAGGACCCTGCCAGCACATCGGCGTCGATAAACGTGTTGCGGTAGCTGATCTGCAGCTCGGCCGCAGCGGACATCATCCTCCCATACAAGTCGTCTTTCAAGCAAAGCCTTGGTTCTCCCAAATCCTCCCTGTCTCCCTTATTATTATTAGTATTATTAGTATTATTATTATTATCCCTACTGTCTTGAGTGGGTACGTCTCTACTCGTAAGACCATACGATGAATCAATTTGTTCTCTGCATGCTGTCTGTGCGCCTAACCCAACCTGCGCGACCCTGCCTGATCCAGAACAAGAAGCCCTCCACTGTATCCCCGTGCACGCCGAACTTCACCTCTCATCTCACTGACCTTCCTTTCCGAGTCCACTCATTGCAGCTACATTTCCACACTTACGTTACTCTGGTCCGCAGTTTCTCTCTCTCTCTCTCTCTCTCTCTCTCTCTCTCTCTCTCTCTCTCTCTCTCTCTCGCCATGTAGACATGCTCCGACAGAGCGAAACTTGCGAATAAGGGCATGATCTTGTCCAATAGCTTGTCTAAAATTCCCCTGTTTTCTGGTTGCGCAGCAGTGGATGTCGAAAGAAATCTCGGTCTGGGCATGTGGGGCTGCGGGAACATGTGTCGCAGCTCACAACCGAATCCTGTCCTTGAGCGATGTGTTTCAGGCGCAGCCAAAACTTTTGCTTGCTAACAAACGGCTGCATCAAGAAAAATTGTGCAGTTGGTCTGCCAGGAAAGTCACAAACAAACGAGCTGAAGCCAGATCGATAACGTGGAGTCTAACGTCACCCCAGTAGCCACAACATGTTCCCGTAAGCATAGGACGACATTACATCCGGACTCAACCAATCCTCCCTCCCCTTGTTCATTGATTCGGTCGCTGTTGGTTGCAGAGGGTCTTGCTGGTTGCCCGGGTGGCACCAGTGTCGTTACTTGAGCGCAGATATCTGACTTCATGTGGAAGTACAGTGCCTGGGCATGGCCTTACCTGGAATGAGGCAAGTGAACTTTCTTTCTCGCAAAGTTTGCCGGTACCTGTTTGAGATCAGCAACATGGTTGAGGATCGAAAATTGGGCTAACCCCAAGCCTGCGCACGCACACACACTCTTTCTTCGGCATGTGTCCTCCTTTCTTTTTCGGTTTCTGTTCAGAGGCAAAACCGAGCCGCCCAGACTCCGAAACCTGGAAATATCTGCGAGACATGCACAACAAGTTCCCGACAGAACTACACGACACCGGGCTGGAAGGTCAACCTGATGGCCGCGTAGCTCGCGGCACGTACCCGGTACCCTTGAAGTCCCGGCAGGCTCGGTTGCCACATGGCCGGCGTTTTGTGCCCCTGATCCTGTAGCATCCTGCGAAGCCAACACCCGATCAAGGCTCAAAACATCCATGGTGACGTACCCACCATTTCAACTTGGGGAAGACTAGAAGCGCAGCTGAGGGCTTTCGAACGCAGCAGTGGAACTCAAACTTCAGCATCTGGATACATCTCGATACTGGCTCTGCATACGTTCCTTTCCAGCAAAGCCCCCGACTCTTCCAAAAGACACCAGGGATTTGAAAAGCTTCCTTCACACCACAGAGTCAGCGGAGGTGATTGGTAACCTCCATGTGGATGAACCCTGGTGTAGCAGGTCGATCCCAAAGTACAGTCTCTGAATGCCCTTGGTGCAATTATGAACAAGGGCCCAACGATATTCAAGGTGCAGCGCATCTGGAAAATTTGCCGCGAGCTCGACCCCATCACAAGCACACGGTTGATAGCTGAGGGATCGAGTTTGAGGGCTTACGAGCTTTAGGGCTTCAGGGCTCAAGGACTCAACGACATGGGTTTCAAGTCCAAAGGCCTTCATGCAAGCCCTCTCGTGGCTTGCCATCGCCACTACTTTCCTTGAAACCGTACCAAAAAACGGAGACATGCCGAGAGAGTTCGGCGAGCTATGGTAGATTAGTACCCATGCTACTCGGCATGGCCGCTACGGCAACTGCTACCGCTACCACTGCCACTACACCCACCACAACAACGGCCGCAGCAGCAACAACAACAACAACAACAATCACAACTACAACCACCACAGCAACAGCAACAGCGACAGCGATAGCAACAGCCACAGGAACAGGACCAGCACCAGCACCAGCAGCAGTAGCAGCAACAACAACAACAACAACTACTACTGCTACTACTGCTACTACTGCTGCTGCTACCACTGCCACTGCCACTGCCACTGCCACTGCCACTGCCACTGCCACTGCCACTGCCACTGCCACTACTACTACTACTACTACTCCTGCTGCTGCTGCTGCTACTACTACTACTACTACTACTACTACTACTACTACTAATATTATAGTACCATAGAAGCCATAGAACCAGAAGCACTACCAGCACTACTCCTCCACCTGGGATTGTGACGCCGACTCCAACTCTAAGTTAAAAATGAAGGAAACAGACATGGCAGCGACACACTGAGCACTATCTCCGTCTCGAACCATACTAGTCCCACGGGCAGCATCAAGCAAGCCAACGACCAGGGATATCAATACGTGTTACAAGAAAGTAAACTAATAATAGGTCGTAGGCAGGACCACTCTATGCCGAACCAAGCCACGGGGGACATCATCCCCATGGCCCGCAGACTGATTTCGCAACCCTACTTACTAACGGCAACAGTAATGATCAAAATATACCCCAACTATCGTGATATCACTAGGCAAGGCATTGAGGGCGTAGGCTTGAAGATATACTCTTCCAAAACAGTATCGGGTTCAGGCTCAGCATACATTGGGCTCTTCGAGTTTGGACCTGTGTGCAAGGTGCAGGCCTGTGCACTGCTGGAGAGATCGAGCTTAGCCAAAATCCGCGAGAGGAGTTGGCTGTACGACTGTCAGATATGTATCCGGCTAGACTGAAACCTAGACCCGAAAACCAAGAAACCAAGACCACACCACCGACTTGAAAGCAAGACATCCAAGCATTCGACACGTACTGCGAAGAAACACGAATGCAGGTGTCGTGCTTCGAATAGTTGCTCGCCCGGCGATTAAAACACAAAACCAACTTGCAGCGTTGCAAAGTTTCAAGATGCCTTTGCGACCAATGCCACGTGACCCCTAAGCTGGTAGAGTGAGAGACAAGAAGCAGAACCTCTCCAAAACAAACTGGCATCTTGACTCGTAGCAAAGCTAGAACCTACAAATCCGGTGATTTGAGGCCAGAGAAGGCCACCAAAGTTCTCCCCCGCGAGCTTGCCCTTCCATAGGTTGTGGAGTGTCCACCACTCGAACACATGGACAGGAGCAACGTGCCACAAGTAGTTTGTGCAACCAGGCTTGTGGCCTCCAGAGACTTTTCAACTTGGGCATTTAATGGCGCCGTTTGCACCAGAAAGCTGACACGGGGCCAGTTAAGGAAGTGTATAGTGATTACCACAGACACACCGAAAACACAAGTACTGATTGCCGTATCGAACGGAACTGTGCTGCAGGACATATGCACAAGCGTACCGAACTGAACCCTCAACACAAGAGTACAAAAGGAGGCACCAGTTCATAAAGATTGTGAGCTCGGATCGGGGTCCCACTCTGGTGGTGCGCGCTGGCACGGATCAGTCCAGCCGCAGTGTCCAGCGGCGCTTGCTCGGCGGGCGCTGGGGAGTGAGGACATCAGAACGTCATCAGCACAACACGCCTCGATCGCGTCGTCGCTTCACCTTGACGCCAGCAGCCTCTTCATACCTACCAACATGTTGCAGCAGACTCCCAGAAATTGACACAGGACTGGATCATGCATGTAGCACACACGATCCCTGCAAAACAGCAAGGCAAGGACGTGAGGCACGGAGCTTGCGTACTACTATCGAGATACCTACGAGATGGCAGCAGACAACAGCTAGAAGTACGTGGTTCAGTGTTTGCTATGTCCACTGAGCACTGAAACTATATATCGAGCTTCACTCCCCTTCGAGCCCCCATACGTGGAGACTGCCTCGCGCCCACACGAGCAGAGATGAAAGCAGACAGAAGTAGGCATGAGCGGGGTGCGCCTGTCCCGATTCTAGGAACCGCCGCCGTTTGGAATTTAGACGGCTTGACCTGCCTTCGGACATGTCATGTCTATCTTTCCTGCTGCTCAACACCCTTCCTTCGTGTACGCATGTTCATGAGACAAAGTGTCTACTATGCGTTGGCATCTGCATAGTGGACACCGACTGCCTTGAGTATCGGTCCGCTTGTTTTCCGATGAGACATGAGATTACGATGGTGAATGGTGCCCAACTATTGAAGAAAATGACGACGATGATCATGGTGGTGGTAGTGGAGGATCAGTGAGACTTCAGGCCTGATCCTGCTTTTGGTGCTGATGCTGGTCCTGATGGCCAGTGCCGCGCACCATTGACATATCGCTGAATGAGTAACACCTATGGCATCCACAGAGCCATCGCTGTGTATCTGTCTATTTCGCTTCTGCCGCGCCCCTCGGAGGTCACACTGAGACATCGCGAGTCTCGGCGGTTGTAGGGCGATGCGCTGATAATACGCATTTGTGCCAAGATACGCGGGTGCGTGCACGATGTTGAAATGTGATGTTTATCGCCTGCTCAGAGGTGCTGCGACACCTAGAGTATAGGTGAGTGCGCAGGGATGGCCTCATTGACTGCGTTCAGGACTGTCCTGCACCTTGTTTGTCTTGCATGAGGGGTAGTGTTGCCTTGGAGGAACGACTCAGAGGTTGTTCAACCTCTTTTTGCAGCACCATACAAGTATCTATGTCTACCTCTCCCATGACACTTAAGATCTTGATGCTGTTTTTGAAGAATGGGGTGCAGGACAGCATTTCTCTGCTAGTTATGTGCGAGTCCTTCGTGAGCACATCTTGGCAACATTGACTTTCATCTGCATGACCTTCCTGCTGAATTCTATCGGCTGCGTACATTCGGATTCTGTGCCAGAGGCCTTGAAAGCGAACGTGGCATCCTCAGCCCCACCTCAACCAGTCTGGTTGTGTCGCATGCCGGCTGCTGCCTCGACATATCCGGATCCACACCAGCATCATCATCATCATCATCATCATCATGACAGCGATGATCAGAAGCATGGCGATTCTGGAGCAGATGGCGTTGGCGATTCTTCTGCGGATACGGAGCCAGGCTGTGACTATAGCGGAAAAGAAGGTGCTGCATGAACTGGAGATGACACTTACCATGGTAGAAAAGGTGTCCTGATAGTGGTAACGATGATGATGGTCATGACTGAGATGATTGTCATCGTATCTCCCAAGACCGCCATGAGAATCCTTGTCTCGGCCATAACATCATATACATGGCGGCTACTGCAAGCACGAAAACCAGGGCGCAAGAGCTCTGCTTCTGCCTGCGGGGTTTGAAACCAAAACAGAGCCTTCGACAGCAGCATAAATGCCGACAAATGTCGATTGAAACTTCAAACGCGGTCTTGGCCTGGAAGCCGCAACCCTATGTGCGGGTTTGGAATCGGCCGACGTCTCTGACCAAGCCCTAAAGCCCTGAAGCAATAGGGTTTAGGGTTTAGGGGTTTAGGGTTAGTGCAATCTCCCCGACATTCACGGCTCAGGACTTGGTAGGCCGACATCGTCCAGGACCAATTCGAATTAGGCACCTGTGCAGAGTCCACTTCGGTACTAAAACTGGTGCAGCCTGGTCCCCAGGCCTTGAACTGTGTGTCGTGTTCGATTGTCTCTGCTGGTATGGTACTATTACTATTACTATTACTATTACCAGTCTCGACGGAAAGGAGGGTTTAGCAGGAGCAGACGCTGGCTCAAGTCTCTTGGGTTACCATCCGTGTACGATCACCAGCCCGAACTCGGCACAAACGTACTCAGGGTTTGAGGCATTTTAGTAGGGTTTAGGGGTTCAGGGGATTAGGGGTTTACGGGCTTAAGAGTTTAAGGGTTTAGGATTTAGAGTCATTACACCTACACCATGCATGAACCCTTTAGGGCTGTGTGGGACCAGCAACGTGAGGAAAATCCTCGTAAAACGAATTACAACGGCAGCTCCGCAACGCTGCCGGCACGAAGGGACTCCAAAACTTGGAGGAGACACATCTTGCCTTGGAACTTTTAGGGCTTAGGAGTTTAGGGTTTAGGGTTTAGGGCTTAGGAGTTTAGGGTTTAGGGTTTAGGGTTTAGGGTTCTTCGGATCGCTTGAGGCACAGACAGCCGGCGCAACCGTCCGCTATTCTGGTAGAGGGCAGTGCAATCCAAAATCCGAGTAGACCAACATTCCTTCACCTTGAACCCAATGTACAATCGTTTGGTGTTTCAAGAACAGAACAAACAGTCATGACTCCCTGCAGTGTTCATAAAAGTTCAAGCGTAGCTCAGGCATCTACGGTCATTTCGGAACTCCTTGAAGCCCTGATTCTGGCTGGGACTTTTTGACTCTACAGTGTGAAGATGTGTTGGTCGGAGGGCCTTGGTTGGAGTGCTGGTGACCTAGCTGTTTCTGAGACTTCCAGATGGAATTTCGAAGGCAGGTCTCCATGTCAGACAACATTTCGTTGCAAAGCTCGAAAAATCAAAGTCTAGAGACCCAGTCACCTACCAAAGCAAGCACCGCCTGTCCAAGACGTGCTCAAGTTAAATGGAAGAGTGCGAGTCTGACTTGAGCGGGCCAGCTCGAACGCTAAGATCCGAATCGTCTCGAAATTCGAAAGACGAGGTGCGTTGGTCCGTGCACCGCCGCGAGGTGAATGAAACCAAACCAGCAAAGTTCCTGGTTGGTCGGCTCGGGCTGACTACTTGTCCACCTTCGTGCGATCGTGAGTCCCTCCAACCTATCTTTGCGCTGCATGACGAGCATGCCCTTGTTGCAGTTAATTTGCGAAGCAGTAGCACAACACACCCGAAACAATGATCCAAATCCCATAGTTCAGTAAGGCCCCGAACTGCAGGGACATTCCGCACCTGCATTCCGTTTGCAATGCCCCTTAGTAATTACTGTGTGAAACCACTGTGCAATGTAGGTTTTCCGGGCGACAGAAGAGTGTTGAAGGCATCCAGGGCGCATCTTGGAAATCGACTTGCGAAATTTCCTCAGGACGGCCCGCGGAAAGTCAACCTCCTCGGCTTCTTCAAATGGGAGTTTCCGAAAACAGGGGACCCCATTATAGTACCCTAAATAGTAGGATCCTTATTATAAGGACCCCCAAAATAAGGGACCCCTAATTTTCGGAAACTCCCAAATGCTATCCGCATGCTACAAACACGACCAACGCCTGGCGTAGCCTGGCATCACTACGGCTGATGGACAAAATCCTGCATGACCCTAAGGACTCTAAACTATGGGAACTGTGGTATATTCCTTATATTGGGTAATGCAGGATTTTGTCCATCAACAGTATCATGACCACAAAAACTCAAAGACAGTCGCAGGAGCATCGGCAGGTAAACACAAAAAAATACTGGCAGCAGCAGCAGCAGTGCAGTAGTGCGGCCAGCAGAGGAAGCGGCAGTAGTAGTCGTCGTCGTCGTGGTAGCAGGAGTAGGAGTACGAGTAGAAGTGGTACCAGGACTAGGACTGGGACTAGGTGTAGGAGTAGTAGTAGTAGTAGTAGTAGTAGTAGTAGTAGTAGTAGTAGTAGTAGTAGTAGTAGTAGTCGTCGTCCCGGTGATGGTGGTGATGGTGGTGGTGGTGTGGTGGTGTGGTGGTGTGGTGGTGGTGGTGCGGTGGTGGTGTAGCGGTGGTTGTTGTGTGATGGTGGCGTGGTGGTGTAGTGGTGGTGGCGGTGGCGGCAGTCGAAGAAGTCGCAGCCGTTTGTACCGTAGCAGCAATAGCGGTAAGAGCAGCTGCTGCTGCCGCATCAACATGCTCTGCTGCTTCTTGTGCTGCTATACCCAGAATATGGCAGAACGGCGAGGGAGAGTATAGCTTGCAATGGCGATGATGATAATCAGGAGGATGTGGGTGAGGAAGATGATGATAAGAATGATGCCGAACCAGCACTCATCGTCTTCTTGTTGGCCGTCAGCTGTATTCACTGACATCTCCAAGTCCCGGGCCAGTGTGGCAATATGTTGTTCATTATCGTCAGAAGCAGCAGCTTCAACATCAGCAGCCAGCGTCATGGTATCTAGCTGTTCAGCAGTATCAACAGGATCAGAATCATCAACATGACCTTCCCTCTCCTCAACCTCCTCTGCCGGAGACGCTCTTTCGAGGCGAGTGTTTGATAACCACCCATGGAAACAAACCCCGTACACATCCTTAACCGGCCTTACCCCGAGTTCCACGGACGACACGGACACTGGTCTCTGGAAGTCAGAGTTCTTGAATTTGCGTGGGCTGGAAGAAAGCTTCAAGATGTCCGGGTCTAGTGCCTTCTACGGGATCAGGGAACAGGATGCTTGCAGATCAGAGTCTTCGGAGTTGGAAGCATCTGTAGCACTGTGCTCCGCATCATCCATCTCCTGCTTTATTTGGGGCCGTCGCATGGATCACTCATGGTACAAGATGAGTGAACATGCCCAGGAGTTCACAGAACCTGCCCCGCAGATGCACAAGCACACCCCAGCAGCCGCCAACCAAAAACCACGCAGCCACACGACACCGAGCTCGCCTCCTTCAAAACGTTGAGAATTTCCCACTGGACATCGCCTGCGATGGCGGCGGCCTGCTTCTCCAGCAACTCGCGCACGACAGATAACAACCTGTGCCGTGTGGCTCTGGTGGACATGGATTGGTTTTCAAGCTGCCTTGCTTGGGGCTGGACCATATAACCTGCCCATGAACACTCAAATCGCTTACTATAAACCATGGTTCGCTGGAGATCTTGCAGTCTCGGGCCCCGTAACTGACGGTAAAGAAAGGCATTGCAGCGTAATTAGAGTCAGGACTGTACTGGTATTACTACTGGCCACAGCTAACACGAGTTACAGTGATACTATAAACTCGGAGGAGGAGTAAGAACTGGGGAAACAAGTGGCATCAGTGGCAACTACGGTTAGGAGTAGTACCAGTAGTGGTATTTGAGCTGGCATTTCTACAGTATTAATACTCTGAGAACTTGGGGACTTGATCCACAAAAAGTGCAGGGTTTAAGGGTTGATTAAGAGTTTAAAGGTTTGCACAGCATCCTGGAACCCCATGATTTAACCACGTGTGTGTCCAATCGCGACGTCGAGCTCTGAGCCATCAAGTGCTTCCTGGTGGCTGAGCTTTGGGCATCGCCTCCGACATCGCGCGCTGTCGACTGTCCAACTTGCTCCTGGCATCTCCCAAAAAGTCGCATGGCAGAGAAGCGCAAGATGCGTGAGTCCGGGAGTAAAGGCTTCTTGCCTAAAGGCTGTGCGGATAGTTCATGTGTGCTCGAGGAGAGCTTGGACGGAACATGCTTTGGGCATCGTGGCTCTAATGGGCTCTCAGAAGCCACTAAATCACCCTTGGTGATGTGGAACCCGCCGAGGGGAGCTCTGCTAGAATCTGCTCGAAGTCGACAGTGGGTTTAGGGCTGAGGGGGTTTAGGGTTTAGGGTTTAGGGACAGTGCCTTGATTTGTGGACAAGCTCCTGGCTTCATGCGGGAAGTGGCAGTACGAACAGGCGTCGCCGTTGGAACAAGATCCTGAGCAAGCCAGCATATAAGGCTTGAAGCCGTCCGTGGCACTGCTGCATCCGGTAGAGCGTGGGATGAAAACGAAGTTGAACCTAAAAGACTACGCAAGGGCCTGTCTCGTGGTCAAGCCGCAGTGCCGTAGACTGTTAGACTTAGTGCTTTGCTGTCGCTGGATGTTTACAACATGCTGCAGCCCTTCTGTCTTTCCACATCTCGGTGATCTTCTCTAAACGTACCAAAACCTGTCAAGAAAGGTGTTCGATTCAATCTTGGAAGTCGGAGCTTTCGGATCAAAGGGCATGCCAGCACATCTTCACAACTGGTCAGCAACACCCGGTCTTTCCGTAACTCCAGAGTGAAGTTAAAACGCGGCGCCGCAGACTTGGGATGTCTAAGACTATGCAGCTCAGGGTTCAAGCACAGGGGCTGCAAAAAGCAGGAACCTGCACATCAACAACTCCAAGAAATTCAATCCAGCTTTGCATGTAGCTTCGTACAAGAACCATGCACACAAAACTCAAACCAGTCATGGAACCAACACTGCGAAGCATAGCACTTGACTCTGAGTAATACTGGACTCTGAATGTCGAGGTACCCGAGCACAGGATGTGCACGCATGGCCGACGGCAAAGAAACGGGTGCCCACGACTCCCTCGGTTCATCGCAGTCAGCGGTGCTGTCTCCTTGGTGTGCGTGCGGAAGCATGTTAAAGTGTTAGTTAAAGAATGCATGTGATTGCTCATACATGTACCGACAACACGAACACAAGAGACACGCAAGTGCTGCCTCTCTGTCTACGTATACCTCGCATACAGATTTCTTCATTCATCTGCCTATCGGCCAAAATATCTTTGCAAACAATACATTCAGTATAATGGTTCTGAAGAAGGCGATTGCTGGGTTTGGATGCATCATCCGACATCATTTCAACACACTCCGGCTTGCTTCCATGTAACACTCTGCCTGGCTTGTATCTAAATCGAGAAAACAAGTAAATCTCTCGTCCGCATGGGGTCCGGGCTGGGCAGGAGAAGTTGGAAATCAGCACCGAGTTGAATCTGGAACACGGTCACGGTGGAACACTAAGTTTGTGTCGGCCGTTTTGCATTGGTGTTCTTGATCTCGTTGCTGTGCCTTAGGAGTGGTTGGTCACCCTTCAACCCCTGCTGAAGGGGACGTGGACACTACATTGGCGTTGCCAATTTGCAGGTCGTGCTGTTGTTCCAGACCGGCGACGTTCCGGACACTCTGGCTGCAAAGAAGCTAAGCCATCTTACGACTGTCGTCGTCGGCCGGGTTTTCTAGCAAAAGCTTTGCAAGTCTTTCCAACGGCTGCACGGCACATCGTCGTCTCCAACTTTGGAGTCGACGGCGAGCAGCCTCAACCTTTCGACGGTTGCAGTATTGGTCAAGTGGGTCTTGGAAATTGGCTGACAGAACTTGCCGAGTCCCTTGGCCAATTATTTGAGACATTGAACCAGGGCCAATCGCGAAATCAACATTGGCTAAGAGTTGGATTGCTGCACTGACGCTCGGCCACGTCGATTGCCAATACGAAGGGACGAGGTTCATCAGATGTGACTGTGTATTCTAACCTTTCGTATGTTTCTTGCATGTGTTGCCGTAGTTTGATATTCATTGTGTTCGCCAACTTTTTGCAGAATTTACGCTGCTGTCTTTCGTGATTATTTATGCAGTGCTTTGTTGTTGTCTCGTATGTTAGATTGGGGTTGCCCAGGGTCTTTTGGCAGTTTAACATATGTTGTTTTGATTCCAGCGGGAGTCAAGCGGCGCACCAATAGACAGTTGCCAGTGTACGTACCCATGCACTCTGTGGATCAACAGTTTGTGGGAACGGTGCAGAGTTTGTTTGTGGATGTTATACCCGTCTGTTTGTTTTGTAATGTCTGTTAACCTTTCCCTAATGATTTCGAATTTGTTGCTAACGGTTCCTATATCATGTTTATGTTTCCTCAGGTTTTCTAATAGTTCCCATGTTGGTCAACTCGCAGGGAAGCCGCTACGCATGAACACGCCTTATAGAACCCAACGAATGCTACGTTTGCACGTGTACAACTTGCAAGGTACATTCAGACTCACTTCCTGGATGAAGCCCAAGCGGCGCCCAGACCTCCAATGCCCAGCCCGGCCCTGACCGGCTTCGCCTCCTCTGACTGGGTCAAGAAATCTGCTTTGAGGTTTGAAAATTTGGAGAAACGAGGTTGTCGGCATCAAGGTTTCTGCACTAAAGGCTTCTACGCCGCACGAGCTCACGGGGAGAAAGGTAGCAGGAATGCTCACACAATTTGCTTCCGCTGAGGCATGTGGTAACGAACATCTGATTCTAAATCACGGATACTGCTGTGTGCACGCACCGAAGCATGTTATGTTCGGCATGAGTATATCAGTTTCACGAATTGGAATAGCACGGGGACACACACACACACGTAATACATCGACAATGTTGCTGGAGACAGGGGCACGCATTTAGGAAATTGAAGCCCCGGCAAGCTGCAATGTTCAGAAACGCTGGACTAGGTGTCGGCTCAGCTGTAGAATGTAGATCAGTGTTAAGCTCTTTGCCTGTCGCTGACGTCTTTCACCTGTGAATCTTAAGCATCAACCCTCAGCTTGTTTCGCATGATCCGCAAGCTGAAATACGATATGGTGCACACCAAGCCAAGCTCCTACATCCAAGGTAAAAAGCCATTGGAATCTTCGGGGAGCCCGTAGAAACCTGGGTAGTCACGGGCAGTCCTTGCGCTCGGAAGATATATTGCTTTGCTCATGCAGCAGACCCTTGGCCTTCTCCAACCTGACATTGCCATGGCTGTTGAGAGCTCTCGCAGCCATTCCTCCCCAAGCCTTCTTGCCTCTCTACCATGTCAGTGTGTTCACCGTCTGTCCGTCGGCAAACATTCAAAAATGGAAGCCGGGTTGGAGAAGCACTGCATGCGCAAGCATGTCGGAGAGCCGGCGTGTCTGTCACGACAACACACACATAAAGAAGGAAGTGCATGGATACGTATACTACATGAAGACACAGGTGCATGAACATATGTTTGTAGGCATACATACATACATACATACAGGCAGAGACGGACCCAGACCGATCGACCGACCGACCGGCCGGCAGGCAAGCAGGCAGGCAGGCAGGCAAACACAGACACAAAGACACACACACACACACACACACACCATCCAGACAGACATGCATGCGTGCATAGAAGCAGATATGCAAACGTACATAATGTCCAATAATAATGTCCATACATCCATCCATGCATCAAACATGCGTGCATGCGTGCGTACATACCTGCATTCATACAGATGAACATTCGTACATACACACGAATACATAGTGAATATTCGTGCATGCATGTGTGACTATGTTGACTGAACAGGCCACCCTGGCTGCCTGCCAACCTGTCTACGTAATTACCTACTGAGGCAGCTACCGACCCACAAATTGCATGCGTGATGGACCAGGCCCGAGAATTCTAAGAGTCGTAGATTCGTAGTGAGACACTCACAACGACACACACACAGAGACACACATGCGCGCGCCAACACCAAGAGGACCTTACTCACCTTAGGCTGGGGTGTCTTGAGGGTGAGGGCCAAGACACAGGGCAGGGAGATGTGCTCTGTGATTTGAAACGAACCTCCAGGCCAGAAGTCTCAGTAGCCTTTGATGACAAAAAGGATCACATAACGTGGCACCCAAAACAGAAGACGCCAAAGGGCAGATCGCCGACATATGTCTGGGTGTTGAGATCTTGCGTGTGCACGTCCTCGGCCAGATCAGCGAAGTGACCTCCGACGCGTGGATGGGCTAGTATTGGAATCCATTCCGTGCGGGATCATGGCAAGTGATGACGCTTACTCCCCGTCACTGCGCCACGGCTGTCCACAAAACTGCAACCAATACTGACGTAATGCTAATGGGAAGGTAGGAGAATGGAGATACGGGAGAGAGAGAGATAGATAGAGGGAGGGAGAGACAGCATAAACCCAGAATCAGGGCGTCACCCCCACTCCGAAAATAAACTATAAGAAGAAACATACCATCACGGATTTCAGCATTCATCATCACCACGGTCATCATAACCATGCTGTCATACTCAGTCGCCACCGTCGTCACCACCAACAGCATCATCATGAACTTCTGCATCATCAGCATCAGCACCGTCATCATCAGCACCGTCGTCATCATCATCATCATCATCATCATGTTCTTCTCCATTCTCACAGTCCTCGTCACCGCTGTAAGGATCATTATTTATCAAGCTATCTAGCAGCTAGCAGTATCCTGGCCGGGGCAGTTTCATCTCGCCACAGCTTCGTAAGTGAAAAGGGCACCATGTCCCCCACGACTGCAAGGGCATCAACAATGCCGAGCAAGAGAGGGCTGCTTTCCAGACATGAAGGCGTGGTAATCACCAGCACCATCAGCTTTATGATCAGCAAACCAAATGACCGTTGCTGATCTTAGAACCATGATACGGTAATAATTCTGCTCCTTCCCCTGCTCATGCTCGTCATCTACAACAGCAGCATGAACATCATGACCAACGTCGTCATCGCCACACTCCGTCCACACTCCCAATGTAGCCACGGCGCCCAGGTCAGGAGAGCTTGCTGACCGTGGAAGACGTGCTTGTTTCTGATCTTCGCCCTGCAGCCAAAGCACCGACAAGGAGCCCCAATTCAAATCCGAAACCTGTTCCCATACTGGCAACCCACCGAGTCACGAAGAATCCACAGGGCCCCGAAGCCCGAAAGGGCAACGACACTGGTGTTGGGCATTTGGCTGCTGTAGACTTTCGACCACCCTGCATAATCTTGCAAAGGCAACTGACTAGCACCGACAACACACAAGTACCGATCGAACAAATGCGTCCTACCATGCAAAATCTCACAGTGGCAAACCAGGGAATCTTCCAGATTCTACAGTACGATTTTGGTAGTCGAAATAAAGCATGTACATGCTCGTACGCTATCTTATGGCCTTTGTCACGTTTACTTGGCATGATGACTTTGCTTGGCATGATGACAGTTTTCGACTCTTCGTTATGACGATGTAGTAACTACTGGCAGGGCTGTGTCCTGGGCAAGACTCACTTTACCACGCAAGGCAACCCTGCCAGCACGTCGGCATGGATGAAGGTCTTGCAGTAGCTAATGCGAAGCTCTGACGCGGCCGCCATCATCCTGCTCGAAGGGGGCTAGGATAGAGATGAAAGGATTAGGGCATTGAGTAAACACCTCGTGGGAACTTGCGGTTTAAAACAGAATTATTTACGACGACAGGAAGTGCCACGACAAGAGTGTCAGCCCTCGACGGACGACGTGAGCTAACAAACTGCAAATGGGAGCTCTAAACTGACAGCCGTTTTCCATGGAAACAGTTGCTTGGAGGACCCTCCTGTAGTTCGAACAACGAAGCAAAGGCATCAACCCTCCGCCCACGCTGAAGTTATAGTTTCCAGGCTGTTTTAAATACCGTTGTACCACGAAAGACGTTGTTTTTATTGTTCGCATTACTCTGTGTGACCATGCAAGTTGATTGAACATCGCGGTGGTGCCACTGGTAATTATTGCCTTTGCTATTGTTACCACTGCTCTCGGCTTGACTGCTGTCGCCATTGTTGTTAGAGCTAGACCAGCACTCATGAACTTCAGTAGCCCCGGCAATTCATCTCTGGACAAGCCCTGCTGCGTTCTGCTTCTCAGAACCGGTTTGCGAGTTTTCTTCAGTCTTTAGACAATCCCGTCTCGGGCATAGGGCATGTAGGTGCTTTCAGCGGCTTGTTCGGTCCTTTTTGGGGCTGGTCAGCTACACCTAGCCAGGTCAGCCGCACAAGCGGCAGTTTGGTAGCACGAAGCATTTAGAAGTGAGGCTTCGGGCTCGAGCTGCAGCTGTCATGCACTTCATGCATGTTCATGCTACATCCGATGCCAATGATCAAAGCTAGCCCCACCAAGGAAGGGAAGAACGTGCCCTGATAATCCACACCGAATGATCAGGAAGCTGCTGGGCGTTCTTTCTGTTGATTGGGTTGCTTGGGTCTTTGTGGTTTCTAACGGTTCAAGCATACAATGCATGCTCTTGTTGCTGCATGCTGGAAAATTACGGATACTTAGGGCATGTGGGGACGCAGGATATCAAGGCGCGTTCCCTGAATAGAGGAGAGTGTTTCCGTGAGCCGATAGTGATAGAGCGACTATAGCCAATCAGCGTCCTGGACTGCTCGGCAGAAAGGCGCAGGAACACGGGCTTCTTTCAAAAAATGCTGCGACACACATACCGGAGACAGCGGGTGCATCCAAGCAACGGAAACTACTTGCTGAACATATAACTGTATACATGCATGCTGCATGCATGTCTGTCTGTATGTCTGCATACATGTATGCATACATGCATGCATGTAACTGTCCCTCAGCCACTTAGCCATCAGCTATTGCATAACTTCTGCACACTGCTGACAGTGAAGCTCGTCATGTAAGCCTACCCAGAGAGGAAGACGATCTGGCTAAGATGATCTGCTGAAGCTGAAGTTTGAGTGCCTGCACCGCTGCGCGCAGCTTGTGAACCAGGATCTGAGATATTTCAACCGAGCTGGCAACAACCGATTTGCCAAGAGCCCACTAGCTCGCGAAAGGCTGGGCGGTGAAATATCTTCGGGTCGGGTGTATGAAGGGTGTCGGGACTGCACCCATGTGCCTTGGCCATGCCAGCAGAAAGCACCCTGCCCTGCAGTCGGCTTCCGGTTGCCCGGCTTGTGGGCTTCGTGTAGCTGAGGTCCAGGTTACTCATCGGTTCAGGCTCCAAGCAACTGCGTTGGGGCTGTGAGATTTGGTTTGGGGCTGGCAGCAGTTATGGCACGGACGCTCCAGGCTCAAAAAGCCGGCGCCTCATCGCCTCGTTTTCATTTCCGACGCACACCTAGCTGCAATCTGCATCCATAAAACAGCAAAACACAAAGCGAAGTGGGAACAACCTCCCCAGGAATATAAGCTTGAAGTCGATCCCCAACCAGAGGCGCAAGCACCCTCACGCAACCTGAGGCTGTCGAAACAGAAGGTAGTAGGTAGTAGATGCAGCAGGTAATAACTACAGAAAACGTTTTAGTATCAATGCTCTGACTTGCCATTACCAATAGTTTCAACAATAGTGTAGCAGCAGTAGCAGTAGTAGTAAGTAGCCGTGATGTAGTAGCAGTACCAACAGCACCGACCGACCGACATCATTACTGCGTGATCGCAGTGGCAGTAAGAAGCATTCTTCTGGAGAATCCTCCCCAGCTAGACCCTAAACCGTAAACCCAACCTTCGAGGGGCCACGCCGGAACTGGTGCCCAAGGTGTCGGAGGCGGCACAGGCCTTCCAGTGCTTTCTCGGGGTCTTTCGACGGCTCTGAGGGTCAAACGCGCGACATGTTTGAGCCCAGAGACCCCAATATCCCTTAATCCTTGAAATATAGGGGGATCCCCAATATGATTTAAGGTATATACCTTAATTAAGGGATATTTGGAGTCCCTGGCAGGATTTAGGACGGGGTGTTGGGTTGAGGAATTGCTGGGCTGAGGCATTAAGTTGGGTATGTCCAAGTTCCTGGATGCGAGGTACGGTTTTACGGTGTTAGGGTCCAGGCCCCGTGGGGAGTCGGGTAGGGTGTGCGGGGCTTCCAAGGGGTGGCTGAGTGGGTTATTGAAGGCTTCGGGATCTCACCTGTGAAATACAGGAGCAATCACGTTCGACTACCGTCTCAGCTAGTGCCTCCAACGATTTGTTCTCTATACTCCCCCACCCCCCAAAGCCACGACCCACCCACGCACAAGCTGACGCTCATGATGCTTGCCTGCCCCCTTCCAAAACAAAGACTCATACCAACACGAACTCTCGTATAAACACCTGAACCCATGCGTGAGCCGGGCGCTCGTAAACTTAAACCCTAAACCGTAACCCAAAACCCATACCCGTAACACCCCAAAACCCTAAAGAGCTGAAACGCTATACTACCAATATATTAACATAATCATAGCTACGACAACAACTACAAACCCTGAACCCTCACCCAAAACCCGTCAACCGCGTGCACCGGGCGCGCATAACAGTAAGCCCTAAGCCGCAAAACTCCAACAGCCGAAACCCTAAACCGTAAGACACATGCGAACCCTGAACACTCCAAACCCTACAATACTGATACTATTATATTAGGGTTTAGGGTTTAGGGTTTAGGGTATATTAATACTAATATACTTATTATAACTTTCACTAAAAACCCTAAACTAAACCCGTCAACCGCATGCGCCGGCTAATACGACTACTGCTGCTACTACTACGACTACTACTACGACTACGACGACTACTACTACTACTACTACTACTACTACTACTACTACTATAGCTAGTACTACGACTACTGCTACTACTACCAGCACCACCTCCTGCTACTGCCGTGACCACTACTAGTCCTACTACGACGACGACTGCTACTACGACTACGACTACTAATAAACATGAAGACACTGATAATAGTGCTAATTTAGCAAGAAGAGTAAGAGTAACAATAATACGGATGCTACTGCAACGACGACGACAGCTAGGACCAGAAGAGACAAGTAACATACCACCCGTCAAAGCAACCGTTAAAACAACGCAAAAGAGGACACTATACTGGCGATAGCAGGTCTGCTTGCAGCACATGTTGTCGCCGTCCCTCAGCCTGGCCTCGAAGCTTGCCACTGCGGTGGGATCAGCCCCGCCAAAGACCCCGTGCTCATTGCATCAGCAAAGCAGAGGATGGGGGCTGCAACCCCCTAGACTCAGACTGGGTTTTCAGGGCCATAGGTTTCTCGAGCTTCTGGCTGCTTGGGAAAACAAATCAGGGCTGAAGGGACTGAAGACGTAGTTGTTCCAGAGCCGCCCAGGCTGTTTGTGCGAGAAATGGATCGGTGCCCTAGCAGAACCTCCTGAGATCTCGAGTGCCATGTGACGAGTACGGTTGGACCGCATGCAAGATCGGATGGGAGAGCCAGCTCGCGAGGAAGACCGGGCAAAGACTCAGCAGGACTTAGATGTCTCGGGACTACGACCTGCCAAAGAGACATGCGCTCAAGATTCTCAGCGGATGGAGCTCAGAGCTTCAGTCATCGTCTTCGTCTTGCACGCACACTCACACGCAGAGTGCTATAATACTCACAGCTGGAAAGACAACCGCTATGTCCTCCAAGCATTTGGCCACCTCGCCCATAAAGGGCAGTGCTGAGTCCCGTGCCTTGGGAGCACTTGCTTCACCGATATGACGAGGAGATCCCAAATTACGCTGTAGTGACTGTAGTGTAGTATTTCTCACAATCTCACTGGTATTGTCAGTGGTTGTACTCGTGGCATCAGCACTACCACCACGACGACGACGACGATTACTACTACTGTTCCTGCTACCACGACGACGACGACTACTACTACTGCTACTACTCCTGCTCCTCTTCCTCCTCCTCCTGCTGCTGCTGCGGCTACGACTGCGACTACTGCCACTGCCACGTTTACTGCTACTGCTACTGCTACTGCTACTCCTGCTACGACTACTACTGCTGCTGCTGCTGCTACTGCTACTGCTACTGCTACTACTACTACTACTACTACTACTACTACTACTACTACTACTCCTGCTACTACTACTACTACTACTACTACTACTACTACTCCTGCTACTACTACTACTACTACTACTACTACTACTACTACTACTACTACAACTACTAGGCTAGACGGGCCTGGGCGTTTTACAACACGTTTGTTGCGCCACCTAAGTGTTTTGTGTAGCTTCAGAAGGAGTGAACAACAGGACTTTTGTAGACTATTCGCAGGGCTCAATTTGGGAGTTTTACTGTGTAGTGGTGGCGCGTACGCTGCTGTTGCTGCTGCTGCTGCTTGTTGGACTAGGTACGGCTATGACGGCTATGACTGACTACTAGTAACTAGTAGGACAACGACAGCGAAATCGATGCACACATGAAAGTCTCTTTACCATGTCCAAGCTCAATGCAAGACGGAATGCACAGGGCACGACAGGCATGCAAAATGCTCGTGCGCACAGCAAGCAGCTCATCCCACCGCAAGGACCATTTCCCGGTAGCACGAAACTCTTTGCGGGAGGCCTGCACACTCACAGCGAAGGGTGGCCACATAAAAAGAGCGAAGTGCA